TGTGTGTGTGTGTGTGTGTGTGTGTGTGTGTGTGTGTGTGTGTGTGTGTGTGCATCCATGCATGTATCAATGCTCCCATACACATCAAAAGCTGGATAATTCAATCATGCAAACCACAATCCCTTCAGTGGAGACACCACATTCAATCCTCCTCCTCCTCATCTTCATCCACAAGAAAGGATGTCAAAACTTCTTCCTCATGCACTTAACATTATACCGCTCCCTTCTCCACTGCCATTACCAGCAAAACAACAAAACAACCACCAACTCTGTCAAGTTGGCTCTTAATCACACTAGATACAAAACAGACATGCAGGGCAGGGAGGGAGTTGCTTTAGAAAAAAGAAAACATCCTATCAGAATGGATTCTGAAACCTTAAATCAGGCTCGGTTGATATCAGGAAGAAGATGAAGGCAGCTGCTTTTCGGTCAGAAGGACAATAAATCATGAACATTCAGGGAGTACGGGTTTGAATTAGCCTCTTCTTTGTTATGTCATTCCTCAACATATATTCTGTCATTAAAGCAGCAATGATGACTTGCACTAATGTAGAATTTGGATATTTATTAGAGTTAGAGGTATGATACAGTAATTCGGAGATTAAAGCAATAATTACATCATATTCACTGCCCTCTGCTGGAGGACAGATGTCAAAAGACTAAACACAAATCATAAAATGATACAGGAGATGCAGGAGAACAACGCATACTCCTCTGACAGCATTGGTCTCATGAGATGCACTCATACAGGCATACACAAATGCGAACACATGCACACACACACATGAACATATACAAGACGCAAACAAGGCCTGGTGACAGCTGCGACTTCTGCTGCATTTCTTCCACCCCCCACCCCCACCCCCCTCTGCTGTGAGTCTTCACTCTGCACCCAGGCCACAGGGTGAGTATCAGGTGAGGTTTTAAATAGCAGGGCCTCTACGAGATGACCTCAGGGTCCCAGGGGTCTACCCCCGTGGCCCCTGGCCTCTACACTTATGCCCCCCAAGAAAGCTCTCCGGGACCAGGGGCCTCCCCTCAGTCTGTAGCCTTGAGACTACAATCCATCGCCCTGTGCCCCAGTCCAGGCCATAAATCTGGGGACCATAAACTCATTTCAACTTGAATCACTCACACATATCTCTGTGTAGCTCAGCTCAAGTCCATGTACAATGAAAACAAAAGACATCCTCTGAATGCTACAGGCCCCATTCTCTCTTCAGTCCATGCTAAAGCTACAGGCGAACCACAACTCAGCCCAGATTACAGTATAGCTCACGCTCATCTGCTTCACCCCCAGTTTCAACTTCAACCCTTGCCCAGAGCTCAAGCTTCAAAAGCCCCATTTCCAAATCTACTCCTCCCCGTACCCCCCCCCCCATCAACACAGCCCCATAACCACACAGCCACATCTCCAGCCCCGCTCTCAGCACAGGAACAGAGCGAAAGAGTGAGGGTCCGTCCGACAGGAAGGCCAATGTTTACGCGATACTGTTTTAATTAGAGGCAGCCGGTGCTGCTATTTTCTTTACAATTTGGCCTGTGTTTGCCTTAACCCAGAATGCCAAGGGATGGCTCCATTTTCCATTTGTGGCCAGGAGGAACTCTAAAGGGGTCTTATTCCTCTCTTCTACATCTCTGCTCTCCGAACATGGCTTATAGTTAATCATCGCAAGATCATCTAGAATCATCTGCAATTTGAAACTGAGGATGGATCTGGAGTCGAACACAGGCCAATGGGCATGTGTTCCGACACTGAGGAAAGCACACAGAGGGCAGCGGGCCACATTTTCAGTGTGGGGAGCACAAGATAGGAGACCACAATACTACAACTTCCTGTTTCACCTAATAATTTCCTGTGAGCGTCACAGTGGAAATAAACATAGCATTTATCTGCAGTGTGGATGTAATCTGCCTTAATTACAATCCACTATCATTATCATGTGGTCTAGGTAAGAAAAAAAAAAGACTTTCAAAAATATCACTATCATTCCCTAAATGTTTAGCAAAACACAAACCACACTCGCCTCTTTGTGCAGGCGTGCATCTCGCTCCGAATTGGTCTATCACTTTGTCTAATAAACAGAACTTCCTGTGTCTGAGTGTTTATAAACAGTGCTGAGTGAGCACTGTGTGAGAAGAGACAATCCCTGCGAAAGCTGCGGCACGTGATAGAGTGTAGAATAAACACACTAGCTAACTCCGGTCCGCAGTTAATGGTGGTCTGCTGTGTAGACCTCAGCCTCCTCGGCGCGACCAGACAGCAGGTGACGACAGACAAGACATGAGATCGCAAACGTAGAAGCACAGCTCCAGTAGATTGTGAAGGAATTGAGAGATCTAATATGAGATGAGTGTATTGTGCGTGTGTGTGTGTGCATGTGTGTATCTGTGTATGCGTGTGTGCGTCCACAGGCCACACAGCTTCCAGGCGGGGTCGTCCATGGGTCGCCTGCGGAGGGCAGTTCCAAATGAAACATAAACAGCCGCTCTGTCCTCTCCTCCTCTCTCCTCTTTTTCCTCTCGGACGATGGGCCAGTCCCCCAGCACGGCCCAGCACAGCGTTCCACGGTCCAGGCAGAACTAATCTATCCCTCAGCTGTGCAGTCTAATCTAAACAAACAGATCTCTCCCTACCAACATCTGGAACCCCTCACGTACCGGGACCTAGGAAACCACCGCAGCCCAGTCTCTTTGTCAGTGTCTGTGTGCGAATGAGCAGGTCTCTGTGTGTCTCTGTGGGAGGCAGTGTGTGTCCATGTTGTAGATGTCTACCAGAGGTCACTTGACTTGGTTTAACCGTCTGTCAGGTTCAACATTAGAGCTAACCTCTCCTGTCAATTAATGGTGCAACTTCTATGGAAGACAGTGAGTCGTCATGTACCAATGAGTCTGAAGTCTGATGTGATGCCTACAACAAAGTCTTATTTCCACTGATTAATCTATGGATTACTTTCTGTTTAATCTTTTAGCACACAATACGTCTAATGGTGACAAATGAACATCACCAGTTAGTGGGGCCCAAGGGGATGTGTTGAAGCTGCTTTTGCCCTACAAACCAAAAGACATTTCATTTACAATGACGTGAAACAGAGAACAGTGGCAAATCTTGACATTTGAGAAGCTGCAACACTGGAACCTTTGCTACTCAATAAACACACAAACTCCACCTAATTATCCATCCAAACTAACTGTGTGAGGGTCGGATATTTCTGCCCATGTGGACTTTTGAAAGTGGCGATAAAATGTTTGCAATTTCAATTCATTTCAGTTAGAGGGCATTTAAATGGTAAAAGTATCTAAACATCCATAGACTCTTAAGCAACTGCTGCAGCATGATGTACTCAGTGCTCAGTATGCTCCAAATTATAGGTTTGTCAAATTATGGCTAACAACACTACTTCCAGAAACCTTTCCAGAGCGGCAATGGAAGAGTAAACAAAGAGAAATACGAGTCGTAGTTAGTTATGTCCTTGAATTTCTCATTTTGTTTTGTTGTCAAAAGATCCAAAGTTATTCCCTTCACAATGAAATGAAACAGGAAACGCTGACTCTGCTCACACTGGAGTGGCTGTTCCCAGCAAATGTTTGATTATTTCAGTTGATAAACGGCGGTTCATTATCTAAATAGTCAGCAGTTATTTTTCTGTCAGCGGATTTCTTGACTCATCGTGTCGTGTTCAACCATCAATATCAGGCTGTAGCAAGTTAGTAGTAATAAGGTTGCACGGCATTATTGTAGCACCATTCAGTTTAATACGGTGCCCCTCACTGTAGCACACATGACCATGGCCTGACATGTGAAAAGGGTGTGAAAACAGTGTGTTCCCCCTCACTACAGTCAGGAGTCCTGTACCGAAGAGGCTCCCCTCTGCTTAAACTGCTGCCAAGTGCGCCTGCGCCACACATTAGAAGAACATGCTGTCTGTCAGACCCCTGCAGCAGCACGCAAGGAGAGAACAGCCAACCCGAGGAGGAGGTGGGGTGTTTGATCTGCGCAGGAATCGGCCTGCTTTTACCGTTTGATCTCACTTTTTTTTTTACATTTGAGGGAGGGTAGGTAAGATGGGGAGAAAACAGACATGGGGAACACACAAACAACGACAACTATGCATTAACTATGCTTTTTTTCCCCCCTTTTTCTGTGACTATAAAAATACTTCAATTTCACAGCAGCACAATCTGCTCCTCCATTCATGACTCCCACAGCACACTCTAGCCCTAAGTGCAGGAATGCGGATCAAAGGAAAGGAAAAAAGCACACAGCCCCTTCCCCTTACCCCCCCCCCCCCAGCACCACCCATAAGCACCATTCTCTTTTTCCTTTAAAAAAAAAAAAAAAATCATTCTTTGTAAGTTATTTGTAAAAAAGCTAAGCAAAAAAAAAAAAACAAGTGAGTAGCCCATCCACTCCGCAAACACGAGTTCCTGTCCTCACTCCGCTTTTTCCCTGCAGCCGGAGACAAATCTTTTTGGAAAGTTGAGAGCTGTCCAAAAGGGGACCACACACAGTCTCTGAGCATTCAACTGCTGGGGGCAGGCAGACACACACTCACACACACTCACACACTCTCACAAAATGGCGGCTTTGACAAAAATTTCCTCTACCCCAAAAGCTGCTTATGAACTTAATTACAACTTTACTTCTGAGCTAAGTTACAGTCACTTCTTGCACATCTTGTGTGTGGGCATCCAACACGGTTTGAGAAGGTGCAAGTATGTTAGGATACATAAAATGATTTGCAAGTTTGACTTGGCCACTTGCCAGGGTCTAAACAATAAACAATCCCCCTGGCTTGTTCAGCAGCACCCACCAACCCTGTCTTCTTCCAATCTAAACCATCCTATGCCCTTCCCAAACATGCAATATCAAACTGGACAGACTGAAAAGCACTGAAATAAAGAACAGTCCAAGCATCTTATATTTAAACACACACACTAGAAAAACAGATGAACTGTATAACTTGTCAAAAACAGTCAATAATAAATCAGTGTCTTACCTTCCACCCAGAGTTTCTCCACGTCCGTCTCCAAATTAGCTGCCCGTAAGCCCACAGCGAAAGCTCCGAAAATCATGAGGCCCACAACCAAAAACTTTCCGCAGTTCTTTTGTATGTAACAGCCCAGCCTAAATAAAAGTCTCTGGAATTTCGCTCTCAGCCATAGAGGTGCTTTCCTCCCAGTCGCCTTCCCCTACAACAAGACAAGAGTCCTGATGTTACTGTCAATTACACTGCAAGACACTGTACTTACCTGGACAGGTGAATCTGCAGGGTTTAACAGAAAAGGTTCAATGTTATACAGGCAAAGAAATAACTAGTGCAGGTGGTCCCAAATGTGTTCACATCAAAGAGTCTTAACACATTTAAACCATTAATTTGGCCCAAGGAGCCTCGTCTGAGGAGACAGGTTGTTATGATTCGCTGTGAGACTGCAAATGTTTCTATCATGAAGGCTTTGAGGGAAATGGGAGCTGTGATCACCATATAGAAACAATCACTGTTGTACTCTGCTAACCTTCAGTGACTGAAATATACACATCTGCCCGGGAACGCCTGGAAACCACTGGAGACTCCCCAGAGTGAGAGCCACAGGTTCTGTCATATCAGTAACATGTATAAACTGTAACCGTAGCAGGATACATACAAAAGACAGATATCTTCATCCCCTGCAGGTCACCTACACACAGCCTGGTCCATTTCTGTCATTTCACTGCTACAGTGATGACTTATGAAGATGCTGATAAAAAAAAAAAAAAACTGACAGGACAGGTCTGTGTTGCTCTGCTCCAAAATAGGTTTGCAGCTGGACCTCCAGAGCGGATGGAGGTAAATAACAGGAGATAGCTGTCAAGACACAATTATGCAGTAGGTGGCCTTGTGATAATACACCTCCCCTGTGTCTCTATTCCACACAAGAGTTATCCTTGTGCAAAGCTGTAGCCTACATGGTCAAATTCTGCCTTGCATGCACAATACTCCTTTAAAAATAACACAATACAGTCCCTGTGGATAAACTGAAAAATACCATAAAAGCTATGCCCCCCCTCAATAAGTAATATATTTGAGTAATTTGTCAGTGAGGAAGCCGACATCAACACCCAACACTCACATCAAACTGTATTAACATATTAAATACCCTGAAAAGGTGCATGTGGTAAAAACCCACAAATACCAGCCCCCACACACACACACACACACACACACACACACACACACACGCACACAACTCCACTCCCCGTCCAGCAGCCCGTGTGTTCCGGCCTGCATGGGGAGTGGAGGAGCCATCACAGGAGGGACTCACAATATTTGTGAACGAAAGAGGGCAGCCACATGGATTTTTTTTTTTTTTCTTCCTCTTACGCGAGTCGAGAAACTGTCACACAAAACATTTATCTTACCCACCTAAACCTTGAACGCACCGTATGTGCAGAGAAACGTCAAGCTGTATGTTATGAAACAAGCCAGCGGTAGTGTTGACTGGTGAGTGAAAGCTGCATGTTTCTGCCCTGTCTGAGACCGTTATAGGTTGGGGATGTTGTAGTGGGAGCAATCGGGTGGTTGTATGTGCAGATACAACTCGTCTCGCATCCTAAAACAGAAGCCGGCTGCACGGGAAGAGTCGAAATGTTGCACAAAAAACACAACCAAACAACTTTCGGATCACTACAACCTTGCCTTACCCCTGTGTCCCCCTGCCCAGCCCGTCCCGTTACCTAGCAGCGACTGGACATAGTTTGACCACTTTTTTTTTTAGCGAATACAATGAAACCAAGAGCATAAAAGTTTCCAGGTTAACATGAGAGATAAGCACCTCGGATATTTGCTCCAAAGCAAAGCCCGCATCGCAGTAACTCGGCCGCTGCAAATACTCCAAATCCAGCGGTGTGTTGCGGGTATAGTTCCCCCTGTTCCTCCGCGTTACTCTCGGCCGATCGGGGTCTCTGTTTTCCTGCTCGGAGGGCGCATTAGCAGCCGAGGCCATGTTGCGGGGACTGCGAGATGGTTACCGTTTCCCACTTTATAGTGTTTCCCCGAAAGCGTGCAGCGATATCCAGAGGCAACAGAGTTTCACTCTCGGAGATCTCACACCCGTGAAGTAGGACTTCATACTCCTGTTGGAGACGGCGAGTCAAAGTCTGCGCCTTCCATCCCAACATTTCGTGATCCGGAGGTCTCCGCCGCTTTCACCGCACTCACCGTGTCTCTTAAAAAAAGTAAGTTTCTCTCAAAAAGCGAGGTGCTCAATGTGATTCCCATGCACGAGTCGTCGGGTAAGAAACCTCGATGGTCGTGGCATTCTGGTGAGATCTATGTGGTCTTCCCCTGGGCCGCGCGTCACGGCCAACTCTGAGATTCAATAGAAGAGGAGAAAAGACCTCTCTCCATTTGGAGGCAGAGGAGGAGGAGGGGTGAAAGAGGAGGAGGGGGGGACTCGAGATCCCGCCTCTGGGGCTGTCAGATTGCAGGACTTTCTTGCATCTGATTGGTTCCAGAAGGGCAAAAATTACTCAGCAAACACGACTATTATTAGCTGCTTAGCAACAGCTCACTAAAGTAGAGAGACCACCCAGGCAGAGAGACCTCATGTGTGCATCTCCAACTTCAGGGGAGGCTCGCGGAGAGCCAAACCAACTTGGTGCGTTTGGTGTTTTGGGTTTTCACATAGCGCCCTGTCGCCTGAAAGAAGCATTTCCCGGAGAGGACCTGAAAGTCTGAGGCAAGGTAGACACGGTCCGTGAGTCGGAAGGGGGCAGAGGAATGTCAGAACTGAAATTTCTAACTTTGATGTTTTTTTTTTTTGTTTTTTTTCTACCACCACCATGATGGTGGTAGTTGAGCCTCAGATTACAGCGGTTAAAGGGGAGGTCCCACAGTATAGTGTCGGTACAATGTCTGCCCCATTATAACATATAGGATGCAGGATAATCATATTTTGACATTATTATACACGAATAGCCAATATACAAATAATACACGTGGGTAACCCCTTTAAAATCACAGTGTATTCACGATGTGTAATTTATCCTCCTCATTCATTTAATTATACACTTCATTAATGAACCTACTACTAATCGGTGTGACGACATGAAAGTGTGCTCGAGTAGATGTAGTGTAAAATAAATAACTCCATATTTCACACTGACCAGTGGCAGATACAAACGCGCACAATATGTCATGAACACGTCAGTCGTTTTGCATTATATTGTCTGACAGTGTGTCCTCGTGCACCCAGCCTAATGCAGTAAGCAGGTGGCCTTTTCTCAGCGATTGTCATGCTGCTGACTTCAATCGGCTAATGTCAGTGCATTTATCCTGTAGATTTTGTTCACTGTTGCGGACACGTTTATAGCCGAGGACTTAAAAGGCTTAAAGAAACAAGCTTCAGCTTCAGAGCAACATCTGGTTTCTAAAATGCCAATTATCTTTAAAAGAAAAAGCTTCATGACCCAGAAAAAAAAAGTGCGAGAAAGTCAACTTAAAAATCTAAGAAGTAGGAAATATTTCAACCATGACTTAAACTTAAGGGAACTCACTGAACTGACACTTAAAATACAACATAACATAGTAAAGGAACTGAATGGTAACTAGTCCGTGTAGCCACTTGATGGACCAGAGTACCAGTGTATCAGCAGCCCGGACTTCACACCTGAGCCTCCCGTGTTGAGCAGCAGCAGCAGCAGCAGCAGCAGCAGCTCGTCTGGCTGCCAGCCGCGCACTTACCATCTTCAGTCCAGGTGGGGAGAGCTTTCCGGACAAATCCGTGATATCCGCCCCCCGTGGAGATGGAAACGCGTCAGTTATGATGAAGATAAAAAGAACTGCTTTAGTGCTGTGAGGAGAAATAAGATCGAATCGTAATGCGTCGTGGTCGCAGGCATCCTGCTCTGCGTCGGGAAAAGGTTCACTCACAATTACATGGTTGTTCCTTTTTTTTCTTCTTTTTTTTTTTTTTTTTTTTGGCCACGTGGGTGGTCCAGTCCCGTTCGCTCCGTACGCAGGACCCTTTGACTGTCACGCCCAAAATTGTAAACAGTACCAACCCATGCACAGCAGCCATCATCTCAGCCGGTCAATGATATGCACACACTCAGAGAGAAAGAGAGAGTTACACAGTTACGTCCTGCGCAACGATACCTTTGTTAGGAAACGCACACCTGTATATGCACAGGTGCACACACAAATACATTTGTGTACAAACAAACATTCAAATATGTAAACACACCTGTATGCTTATGAAGGCATGCACGCAAGCTCAGACATACAATTGTTTGCACACGTTAGCTTCTGAAAGCTGACTGCAGTTGACATGAAAACAGAGATATATATTTGCTCAAATACTAAATTCCTTTTGATAAAATCAACTTTTTCTGTTTTTGTTTTGTTTGGTTAAGAACCTAAATCAACAGTATTCCTCTGTTTGGATTAACCAGCTCTGCTTTAAAATATGTTTTTCTATGAGAAAAGCTTAGATGATGTCTGGTAAATATTACGATTTTTACCTAAATACCTTATCTATTCAGTCCCATCAGCATTTGTTTGGAATCAGTTGAAAGTTTGTGATGGTGGACACCGACTGCAACAACATCACTTCACTGGCATCAGATATCCCTGCTGTTGTGTCTGAGTGGGAGCATTAAAAAAAAAAAGAAGCAGCTAAGGGGAACAAAGTAAGGCTGCGATGCCCCCTAATGCCCCTGAGTAGAACCAGGCCTGTCTCAGCGGAACATGTCCTTGAAACAAGGAGTCATAACTGCTGCGCCGTATCTGTGCTATAGACATGTTCAAGCTGTTGTCATGACGGTAACACTGTAGGACTCCAACAAAGTGCCACAGGTCATTGTGGAAAATGGTCCTCCCCTTCGAATACTGTAGTGTAGAGGCTGTAAAGATATGCCAGTAAAAATGCTCTGGGAGATTATATTGCAAGCATCTGTGTGAACTAATGAAATACGTATGCACATAAGATGCCAAAACACCCTTGACCAAACACGAGCATATTTCCTTTTTTTTTTTTTTTTCATTCACCATCATGTGCTAATATGGATCAGATGGACTAATTGTTCACTTCAAGAATTATACAAAGCATTGAGAAATGTATTCCATTTTGCGGTTGCAGGCAGTAGTTTAGATTTCTGACTTTTTTTAAGCAATGAGGGCAATGAGTTTATTCAGGCTTTTAAATGATTGTTCTTTGAATAAAGGCAGCAAGACATAAAGATTCAGTAGATAGCACTCGTGTATATTTGTCACAACTATCTTAGCTTCTTTTTTTGAAGGAAATATGTACACAACATGAAACAGCAATACAGTCGCTGATTAAAAGAATCAAGATTTATTGTGAGACAGGAACTACTCAGCTCAATCTATTCATCAGCTGCACCTTACTTTTTAAACCTCTTACTGAACAAACATGCCACAGTACACTGTAGAGCTGAAAGGAGTCGCTGATTCATACATTTTTTGGAGCAACAGTGTTCCCTGGTTTCAGCCTCTCTGTTGTGATATGATGTGATGGAATGTTTGGCATTGGTTGTCAGACAAATTGCGCAGTTTTAAGACATCAGCTCCAAAGCATGATGGGCATTACTCACCATGTTCTAGCATTTCATTGATCAGAATGACCAGTTGATTATTGACAAAATAATGGCAGATTAATCCACAATGAAACAAATTGTTAGTTGAAGCCCTATTGAGCTGGCACACTACAGATCCAGTGTGACACACTCACTGCTTCACTCTGCATTCTTACCATGCTACACACTCCATAGAATAAGTGTGTGTGTGTGTGTGTGTGTGTGGTTGCCGTATCTTTTAGTGTCCTTGAAGTGAATGTGAACACCTGTAGTGTTTTCAACATACAACAAACAGTAGTTGCTACACTTGCAGACATGCCTTTTTACATTGGATGTATTTAGCTTTCAAATGTCAGTTAGTACGACATGTCAGGCCGACTATTTGATTCACAGCAAGGGGTACGGCTACGGCTGTGACTTCCAGATGATGAATCAGACTATTGTTGGTGATGTTCAGACGTTTCATCGCGTGCCCCCATCAGCGCAAACTGTCACCTTTTTGTGCGTTGTCTTATAGAGGGCAACTTAACAACATGCCACACAGTGTCAGGGTAGCAAGCAATGCTATCGGCTTGCTGTTGGGTTATTCTCTGTAGTGGTTGTTTTGTGGCTCCAAGGATCCTGGCGATTATCATTTGCCTTTCTCTGAATCGTTCATATTTGTCAAGTCCTCTTCCAGATCCACATGGATTCCTTAATGAGGAAAAAGGAGATGAAGTATTCATTTAGGAGCTGGAGGAATTGGGCATTGATCCCAGAATGACTTCATCAGCCAATCACCTTCTATGACCCCTGGCAGGGCCCTTCACACCCCTCAAGGCTGGTGGCTGGCTAACGGCCATGGGAAAAAGCGGAAAAACCTTGTTTAGCGCAGGCACTTATTTATGATTTGCAGGTGGATTACAGTTCAAAGCAGAAGTGTGCCAACACATTAATATCCTTAGGTGAACAGCAGAGTCTCCTCTCAGCTAGGTTCATTGTCAGACTGGATGTGGGGATCAGTTTGATTTTACTTTATCTCTCAATAACTCCTATTTCTTATTTTTACAATAAATTCTAACCACAACATTTTGATTCAAATCGTTTGTCTCTGTAGCCGTAGTGAACAGCAAGAGTATCCAAAAACCCCAGTCGTACAAGAAGCACTGTTTTCCACACAAGCTTCTTAGCTGAAAGGTTATGGGTGGAGAAGATGGGGCAGCTGTTTGCCAGCCATCATTATTGAAGGTGGAGGAGTGGTGTGGGGTGGTCAGTCAGTTTTAGATCCATTTTCAATTAAGTGTATTGGAAAAAAAAAGACATAAAGAAAAAAAGCAGCAGAAAGAGAGTGTGAGAGAATGCAAACAAAGCACACCTCTTTATTGAAAACAAATGCACTCAGGATCCCAATTAAGTAAGAATGTCCTCTCTCGCACTCTCACTCTCACTCTGTCTCTCCTTCATTCTACTGACCAAAAAAGGAGACAAGAATAAAAAAAACAAAAAAACAATATGGATGCCTGGGAGTGAGGGATTCTCGCCTATAGAGCATATGTGGCTTTACCTGCACATTACTGATGGTAAGAAATATGCATTGCACCACCTTGTTTCCACTTTTGTAACTGCTGTACCTTGTTAAGATGACTTTTTACGTGCATGTAGTTAAGACCGTGTGTGTGTGTGTGTGTGTGTGTGTTTAAATGTCATGTCATTTGAACATCACAACTTATTTTCTGTGTTTT